AATAAATTCAAATCATCCAATGGGTATTATGATTTTTTTAGTGAAGAGTATAAAAAAAGGTATTTAAAAAGCTTTTTAGATACTGTAAATGAATATTGCGAATACTTAAGAACAAAAAAATCAGACAGTGCAGTAAAACCTAGTTAGAAAGAACCTGGACAAGGAATAAAATTCCCTTTGATTGAAAGATGAATTACTCAACAGAAAACCCATTAGTTAGTTTTTCAGATATGTTATTTGTACACAAATTACATTATATTTGTAAATCACATTTAACTACCAATTCTAAAAAATATCAAGAATTAATAATAAATTATTACAATAATGGAGGTGATATTAATGTTTCAAAAGATATAGTAACATGGAATCATTTAGGAGATATTGTTATTTATAATCAACCTATTGATTACAAAAAGAAAACCAAAAAAGCCTATGATTATTTAACAAACAGAGAAGTGAATAAATATACTAATACCGATTATATTAAAGAAATCCAAAGATATTTTTCATATTTAATAGAAAATAAAAAAAAGAATAGGGATGATGATGGGTACGAAACTCAGAATACTATAACAAAATTAAATAAAATGTATTTTCCATATCAAATTTGTAAAATTTCTCATAGTAGATATATTAACAATCCTATAAAATATCAATTAATGTTTATATCTTATTTTTATGGAAGTAGTGAAACATCTTCTAATGATGTGATTTGGAAAAAAGGTGGTGCAAAGGTATTATTAACAATAGCTCATGATGGAGCAATGCAAAACAAAGAAATTATTTTAGACATTCTTCAAAATATAAACAAAAATTCTTATTCTAATTTAGATTACATAAACGAAATACAAAATTATTATGAATATGTATTACGCATTTATAGAGAAGGTTTGATACACGATCCTGTTGAACTTGTTAAACAAGAAATAAAATTATTGAAAGAAGAGGTTAATTTAATTAAAATTTTATATGAAAAAGAGGTGAAATTATTAAAACAAGAATTCGCTTTATTCAACAAATTGATTGAGGAACAAAAAAAGATTGATATGTTGGTGACAGAAATATGCACGATGTTGAGTATAAATTCAGATAATAATTTATTAAAGATATATCATACTTTATTATTAGATAATAATATAGATGTTACAAATCAATAAGAAATTATTAAATATATTTACAATTCTTTAAATATTACATATATAGAAAATAATGAATATCAAAATCTTGTAAATATAAAAGATTATGTTAAAAAAAGAATAATTATAAATGAATAAATAAATATTTTATTCAACCCTCCTTTGTCCAGGAACCTCTTTGTTTATCTATTTTTTTTAATGCTTTTTCTGCTTTGCTGTAATCGATTTCCTTAATTTTCTCATTACATTTGTTTTAAAAAAATTCAAATATTTCTTTTAATTGTGCTTTTGAAATTACAGGATTAAAATTTATTATTATGTTTATTGCAGTTGTAAATGCTTTAATTTGATCTATAAGAAAATCTAAAACTATTATATTATGATAGATTTTAATACGTGGTTCTCTACATTCGTTAATATAATTTCATATTTCTTTTCTTTTTTGACCACCGGTATATAAACTAACTATTAAATCAATACCAATAGCTGCAAATATAGTAATAAAACTGCTTACTACAACAGAAAAAACTCTTGGATTCCATTTGAATTTAAACCATAATTTTTGCAAAGGAGGAATTTCTGGAGGAACAGAAATTTCTGAACGAATAGGAACTTTTGGAACTGTAATTTCTAGATTTTGAGGAACTTGTACACTAGTACCAGGACAAGAATGTTCCCAGACTAAAACATCTTCACCTGGATCTATATTAGAAACATCAGGAATTAAAGTTTTTTCTATATTAATTTTTCAAAATTTATGTGCGTGATGATAAGCTCTTCGAAATATTTCAAAATCTACAATAAACTCTATTGTTCCAAGAATCCAAAAAAAAGAATCTTCATAAATTTGTTTTTCAATATATAGAAATTTAGGAATATCGAGTTTTTCTGATATATTATCTAATTTTTCTTTTAAAGTTTTAATACAAGAATCTAATTTTTCTTTTTTTCCAGCAAGTTCAACCAAAAACATTCTGATATCATTTTCTAACTCATATGCTCTTTTCAATCTTTTGGGATTGTCAGGATAGATAACATTATTCCATATCCCCAATGTTTTTAAATCATTTAAATCATATTTTTTTTTAAAAAAATTTCTTCAGATTCATTTAGAGATTCTTTATCATTATATAATATATTAGTCTCCTTATTTTCTTCTTCCATGTTTACTAGACGAGTAAGTATTAAGTAACCTTTATTTATACAAATTTTGAAAACTATAAATAGACTAATAAACAACAATTATTCAATTTAAGTAAACAAGAAAGAAGAAAATAAGGAGATTGATATATTATATGATGATGGAGAATCTCTAAATGAATCTGAAGAAATTTCAAAAAAAAAAAATGATTTAAATGATTTAAAAACATTGGGGATGTTTGAAGATGTTTTTTTTCCTGATAATAAAAATAGAGAAAAAAGAGTGAATAAGTTAAAAAACGATATTAGGATGTTTTTAGTTGAACTTGCTGGAAAAAAAGAAAAATTAGATTCTTTTTTTACAATTTTACAAGAAACTTTAAATCGGATTGCAGTCGATGTAGATTTTTCTGAATTGAAAGAGCAAGTTGAAAAACCATTTTATAATGATCATAGTGTGTTATTTTCTAAAATTTTAATATTTATATTAGATTTCACAGTAGCTTATAAAGCGTATAATCATGCTTTTTTATTCTCAACAATAAGAAAATAGCAGATTAAAATTCCAATTATCAAATTTGAATTTTCTTGTAAATGAACTGCTAGAGTTTTTGGTTTCACAACGAGTGTTGTTATTGGTCTTGCTGTGAGTCTTTTAGCTAATGCAGTATTTGATGCTATTAATGGTGTGATAAAAAAAGATAGAATGCAGGATGTTATTCAAGAATGTTTAAATCCATGTGTTGAATTGTATCGTGATATGATGCATTTAGATTTAATTATAGATAAAGTTCAAGGATTTTTAAACAGATTAGAATATGTTCATTTAAATGAACTTTCTAAAGAAAAAATACAAGATATATATGGATCTTTTAGAGAAAATTGTAGGGAGAATATTCGTGAAATAGAATGGAAAAAAGCAGAAAAAGCATTAGAAAAAATAGATAAACAAAGAGGTTCTTGAACAAATGAAGGATAAATAATCTTGTATTGTAATATTTAATATTAATTTTATTTAATAAATATATATGTTTACATGGTTTAATTTATATCTTAATAATTTTATTTATTCATCAATAAAATCAATTTTTTCTAAATTCCAAAAATAATTAACAAAATCCCACATGTGTAAATCTTCACCAATACAATACATTCTTTGAGCTGGACCACTAACAAAAGATCTTAATCTATAATTATTATCCCTAAAAAACTCAACTTTCCAAAGTTGTGAAATTTGTTTATCTTTCTTAAAGTTTATATTTTTTAATTTGACTTCATAAGTTTTAGCGATATCAAATGTTAATGCTAAACCTGTTTTCAAATGTATTATTTGTCCTTTTACATCAAAGTAAAAAAGTGAATATAATTTATCTATTACGTTTCTATTTTTTAATACTAATTTATATTCGTTATCAATTTTTTCAACAGAGATATATTTATTATGTGTTATAATATATCGAATGTTATTTGCTATGTTTATTTGTAAATCTGATATTGCAACGATATTATTATATTTATCGGCAATGAATAAATTTAATTTTCCAAACTGAAGAATTATTTTATCTTCATTAATATTATTTTTAATATGTAATGGATTTGTGTAAAATTTGAACCAATAATATTCGGTACCTTTTAAAAAATGATATTGGCATTTTGTTTCATCATATTTCAAGATTCCGTTGTTTACCATAACAAATTTTTGACGCGTGTTTGCATAATTTTTATCCCAGTGTAAAAAAACATTTACGGGTGTGTTGAGATTTAATCCATTGGGAAATGCAATAACAATCATGTTTTTATTCATGTAAGGATCATATGTGACAACTCCTGAATATGATAATCCATGTATAATTGCTCGATGCCACATTTCTTCAAAACATGTTTCTATTGTGTTTTTTTTTTCATCATTTTCATGAGATACAAATACACAATGTTCATTATCAAAATCGATTTTATATTTATCATCACTGGTAATTTCATCTATAAATTTATATTCTAGTAATTTAATTTTTTCTTCTAATACTTGAAGTACAGTTCTGGGATCAATATCATCTTTATCAACTTTTTCATTATTTAACCAACTAAATATTTCTTTGACTAGCATATCTGATGCATTTTGTACCATTGTGCATATAACTAAAAGTTTGAATGGTTCTGTGATTCTTCTAAATAAAAGAATATCTCCTATTGTTCCTTGAATAGCATTTACTGCAAAAATTGCAACTTCTTTTACATCACCTTGAAAACCATACCAGACTGCTCTTGAAACTGTATAAATAGTGCCAACATATAGTACAGTGTCGACAATTTGATAGATTTTATTGAAAACAATATCGGGTAAAGATATATTAAAAAGATTTTCAAATTTTATAAATAACATATTACTTTAACTTGATTATTTATAGTTTTTTTAAAATGAGTTTACTTGACAATATGATTCGTCAATTTTTTAAAAATATTATTGTGTCCTTTCACTTGTTCTATATGTTGGAACATTTTGTACTGTTTCAAAAATGATCTTGTATGGACTTTATGGAGATACATTAAAATCATTTGATGAGGGTTTAGATGTTATGATTGGGGTACTTTTAGATTTGGTTTTTTCCAAAAAAAACTAAAATAACAATTCTTGTTTCAATAGATACAGTATATGATGATGAGATTGAATATCTAAAAAGCAAAATAGTTGAAGATTCTAGAGAAACATTATACAATAGATTAGATCGAAAAATTAGTAGTTTACAGCAAGCACCAAGAAAAAATATTGTTGATGATAATAAAGATAAGATTAATTTTAACAATGAACACTGTGTGTTTATAGATAATGAAGTTGCAACACAAGATCAGATAGCTGATCATTTAAGATATATATTTCATTTTAAAAATTTAAAAGGATTAAGTTTTTACAGTTATATTTCCTACTCACCGTATATTGAGAACCGAATAGTAATCATGACATTTTCAGATGGTGAAAGAGTATCTTTATTTTTAAATTTTGATAAAGATGGTTCGAATACAAAAAAAAATTATATTAAAACTATCAATGGGGTACTGGAGTTTGATAGAGAAACTGCT